TCTTTTTTTTTTTAAGAACCAGTAAAATTTTGCCCAGGCTCAGTGTTCTTATTTTTTTGCCGATTGCTCAAAATGTTCTTATTTTGTTCATACTTTTACACAATTTTCAAACATCGAAATTTATTATTTTACAGCGATATATTACTGCTGCAATAAAGAGGGTATTGTATAGTACAGTATTACATAGTCACACCTACCACATAAGGTACAGATATAATTTGTTGGTTTTTTTCTATTTAAAAAAAAAAAAAAAACCTCAGTTGAAATTTTGCCTCAGCCTCAATTTGTTCTTATTTTGTTCTTAATTTTTAAGCAATTTCAGTCTCAGTGTTCTTATAAAATGTGTTCTTATAAAAAAGAGTGTATGTGGAGTAATCAAATTCAGCACATACACCATTCTTTTTAAAAATTTTGTTAATATTTGTTAGTTTCATTAGGAATAACATTCTTGATGAAAATGTGCCATATAACGTCATCCCTGAATCCTCTTATATTGGTGTTATTAGCAGGTCAGACAAGATAATAAAATTCAATTAGTGTTACAGATGTTAGGTAATGTACTATATGTCATTAACTATTAGAAACCAATAAATAAATTTAAACAATAATCACATTTTAAATTCCATGATTTGAAAAAGAATACTATCTTACCCTTACTAAAATTTCTCTTCAAGATTGACACGATCTTGATGATACTATACAAGTGCAAATATTTTGGGCCTACATATTACAGCCAATATAGCCTGCAAGGAGGGCCATCACATCGACAGAGGGGAAATTAAGTTCAGACTGTCTTAAACAATTGCTAGCAATGAATATTAATTGGAGTGTCCTCTAAACTACACCAAGTGTCCTCAGGGTTCTACTTTCATAAGCATTATGGGATGTAGTTAATCAATACCATATGATAGCAAAGATATTTTTTTTTAATGAATTATTTCTTTAAACATGAATTCAAAGCAGAATTATCAAATACACATATTTTGTAAAAGATGTTAATAAATTTTAGAGAAAACCAAATGTTTCAGTTTTTCCACATACAAAAATTGATTACCTATACTTTGAAAACAAATTGTACTTGCACTTTGCAATTAACTTATAGATATGAGAAACACTGCTTTTATGTTTGAGAGGTGCAAATGAACTCCCTTTGGGCTAAAAGGTTTGGTTGGGCAAATTCAAATAATATAAAATATTGTTCATAAATAGTGTTGTTCATATTTTTGTAAATTAAATACTAAAATAATGATCAATTCCTATTATTTATGACTCGACAATAAGCAAGACACCTAGCCTAGCAAATAGAAATACATAGTATTTACTACATCCATTGAGTTATAACAAATCACAATTAATTAAATACAAATTTTATAAAGACAAATATATGGTGTACAACTATCGCTAAACATGGAATATAGTTAGTTGCTTAACATTGTACTACAATTATTATTATAATTATAAACACATACTTCCCAATTGATGGGTCACAGCCAAAAAATGGGTCACCAAATTCTGAATGTGTATGACTGTAATATTTTTCTATTACCTTTTACCACAACCCAAATGTGTACATGTGTATTTTGGTTCAAGATTCAGGAATAATAACCACAGGGTTAAAAATAATAAAATATATAATTCAAAGATTGAAAATATTTTCTGCCAAGAATTCGATCATATGTTTGTCTCAAATATGAAAAGCTGTCTCAGCTAGCCCCACCAATAATTTTTTTTAAATAAAAAAAATGGACAAAAAATAAGAAAGTTAAAAAAAAAAAAATTCAAAATTTGAGTGTTATTTCTGGCCATTTAGAGGTGCTATGAAATTTCTTATCTTGGCCTCAACCAATGCCGTAGCCAGGATTTTCAAAACAGTGTGGGACAATGTCATGGTGGACCCACTTTATGCATAAATTCAAATAATGTGGACCCATTTTCTTAAGTTAACCCATTTTACGCAAAAATATGAAAAATATGGACCCATTTTCCTTCTTTTAACCCATTTTAGGCTAAATATGAGAAATTTAGACCCCTTTTTTAAAAAAATGGACTCATTTTATGCATAAAATTGCATAATTTAGACCCATCTTAAAAATTGTGGACCCATTATTTGTGGACCCATTAGAAAAATTGAGTGGGACTGTCCCAACTGTCCCAATAGCTGGTACGGCATTGGCCGCAACAATGTTGGACTGAGGTGGAAGCACCCTCTATTTGTGAAAATCCCTCCTTGGTCCCCCTGTTACGAATTCCTGGAGCTGCCACTTTTTTCCCACTGTGGCTAAAAAAAAGGATGATTGTAGTAAATGTAAATCGTTGTAATACCAACGTCAAGTAGTCATTTTTAAAACATATAGGATCAAATTGTAGCTCTTGTGCTCTTACAATGGTAGTTTCCTTATATGCCATGATATGTATGATGGCGCCATATAATTATCATTCACAAATCTGTATGTTAATATTTAAGTTTGTCGATCTCTGTTGGACCTGCATCCACTTTAGCTGAGTGTAAAGCTCTTGTACATGACATTCTCTCATCCTACAACCTACCAACAGTAGTCTCACTGCATGTGCCTAATCCCATTGGATGTCAATGTACATGATGAACTTGAGCTTGATCTCACTAGAGTTCATACTGCTTGAAGCCAATCCTACTGATGTCATGCTATAGGCCTATGCCAAAGTTTAATCCAAAATCTCATTAAATAAATAAATAAATATATTATTATTAATATTATTCAATATTATTTATCTCTTAAATAATATTGAAGTTTGCCTAGAATTTTGATTGGATTTTTACATGTTTTTCTTTTCTCGCAAGGTTTAACATGACATAATGAATTTTACATTAAAAGACATGATTTTAAAGCATGATTCCTAAAAATCGTTGGGGGAGGGAAGGGGAGGGACACACTCTCCCTTTAAAATACAATAATCCTGTCACTAAACATAATATATCTTGCGTAATGTAATATTTAATTGTAGCACTCATTTTGGTTGCGCTATTGTCAGCTTGCTGTATTCCGGACACCTTCCATCTCTGTTGATTTAAATATAGCTTTTAATTAACAATCTTGTCTCCTACAGCATTTTGTTTTTCATGACTTTAATGATGGTGATGATAATGATAGGCCTAAAAAAATTCAACATCTTACCATGGTTACTGAGAATTCACAATGTGCAACGCAACAGAGACCAAACCACCATTACTTTATTCCAACAGAAAAACTAATAACGACTCATTAATTTCAAAGTTTTGTGCAATTCCGAGAAATAAGAAAGCCTCATTTTATATGCAATATTTTTGCAGTACTTGATTAAACAAATACAGTAAAACCATAGGCCTACTACTGCCGTACAGCTGTGTTCATATGGCAACTGCTACAGCAGCATAGCCTGAAGGAGGATAGAGTAGGTTGCTATATTTGTCCAAAACACAGGAAATCATAAAGCTGAAATATAGACAACCTTTCGCAAGTTATCGACTAACGTTGACATTTATAAGATGGATGACAGAAGAAAATGACAGGGGAATGACCTGATAAATTATGTCAGGTCAGAATTATGTGCTGTATTCATTGGATATATATAATTGTATAATGTAATAGTAAATCATTTCTTTGCACATATTCTTCCTGTAATAGGAATGGATGATTTTATTTCAAATTGAATATGGTAAAAATTGTTTATATTTTTGTATTTTAATCAAATTAGAATGTAATTTAAATCAAAATATCTATCTGTGGGAAAATATTTTTGAATGATGCTCATTAGTTTTGCTATACTATACTTCAAATTAACAAAAAATATTTACAATTGTTTTATAAAAAAACATATATGTTTCATATTTAAAAATGGATAGCAAGGCAAATAAGAAAAATAATTGTTCATAAATTTTGGGTTTTTTCCTAATTCACTTTATCTATACTGTATAAATGAAAAGGAAAATAGTGGAAAACAATATAAATGCAGTGGAAAAAACATAGCTGGATCTCAGAAAATAGATAAGCAAAAGCCAACAATCCCCAACTAGTGTATGGAATATGACTAAACCAATTATTAATAATATATGTTAAATGTCACAATTAGTTTCAATAAAAGAAAACAATAATTCATGAACTAAAAGAAGATGGGTTGCATGTTTCATGTTACCCAAGTAACCATTTTGTCTTTGTAAGACCCCTATTAATTGTGATGATGAATGATGAGTAGGCCTATTGCCGAAAACTTGCATTGAGAAGAAGGTAAAACGGTTTGTCCAATGCATTTTTTAACTTTAATTTGAAGGCTAACACTAAATTCATACCAAATACAGTGACCTGAACCGTGTTGCTCGTTGGCATTTTGATGTTTAAGTATATTTTAATGTTTAACGCCAGCGGTAACAGATTTTCCATGTACTGTATCATCAAATTGTATCTTGTATGCTTTTTGTAGGTCTATGTTTAAAACTGAATACCAAATGCAGCTTATCCAAACCATATTTGGTACTACTGTACTGTATTACAATTTGATTTTAATTCTTTTACAATTTGTTATGAATTTTGAATAGAATATTCTTAGTGCTTAAAGCAGTTATCAAGCAAAACTCAAATTAAACGTTTTTGAAACATGGTGATTTAATTATAGGGATGCCACACAGCATGAACCTGAAAGTCCAGATTTAGTACTGCTGTCGTCTTTACATGTAAGTGGTCTAACACTGCAAAAACAACCGAGTGCTAATGGCTAGCGAATGTGTAAGTACATCAACATTAAGATGTGGTCGCGAACAGCTACTAGTCCAGTAAAAATGATGATAAAGTCATTATTTTCCTTTAAAGTGATTTAAAATATGAACTGATATTCACTTTGTGTGATCTACAGTATGATGATTATTTCGTTAAGTTTTTCAGACGGGTTGGTTTCAAATCCTAGACGTTTATTGAGTACCTCAGTTTTACATTACGTCCGTAGGCTTGAAATAAGCGAAATTTAATATACACTATCATTAAATTAAACCTTTACATTATTTTCCTTACCTTGAAATTGTGTTTCTTTTGCTGATATACCATACACGGATCTTGGTGCTTTAGAATACGTTTGAATTTAATTTCTTCAGATTGCACATCCTTTGAGGTTTTTATGCCAATAGTTCTCCTTGGTTGCTTAATCAAAACCGTACCAAACTCTTGCTGCCATTCTTCAATGATTTTTTTCTTTATTTTATCCTCAACGGTCTTTGGAAACACAAAAACATCCATATCCTCAATTGCAAATGATCTTTTAAACAGCTCATTAATATTACATTTTTTTTGTTGTTCATTTGATGTGATTTCCCTTTTTCTTGAAGGATCCGATTCTGCTTCTTTTTTGATAACACATTGTGGATAATTCCTGGAGTCTCGTACAGTACTAGAATCCTCTTTTGGCCTACTTGTGTTTGAAGATGAAGTTTTATCTTTTGGATTTGAATTTTCAGAACTTGACCTGCAATTCTCAAAATGTATTACCTTATTTGGTAGTGAAAAATCTTCAGCAGTTAATATTTCATCAGGCAGACTGGTGACTGACATCAATCCATTGGCTGATAGCGTTTCTTGTGCAGAATCTTCAATGAAGTGTTTATCAGAGATCTGTTGCTGATTTGAGGTCTTTCTATATAGCATCATATTGCGCATTGCTGGTGGGTTGTCTGTGCTTAAAAATGAATTGTTCAGTAAAGATAAAGACCTACTATGAACACTGGTTCCTTTAAATATAGGAACATATCTCCTATGCAAAGGAATTGTTAAGTGCTTCAAAAGTGGTTTTGACTTTTTTAGTGTTGACATACATCTAGTCGAAGATCTCCTTGATAATGGCATCACAATCCCTTGAAAAGTTGTCAAGCTCCTAAACGATGGTGTTGCAATAGCTGATGAAAGTTGGGAGTTGATATTAGATGGTTGTGTCGAACAGTGTGTGGATGGCACCACATTAATTGGGGAAGGTGACAGTAACATAGATGATGGTGGTAATGAACATGAGGAAGGTTTGAAGGAGACCTTGCCTGGTGGTGTGAAACTGTGTGAGGATGGCACCACATTCATTGGGGAAGGTGAAAAGCTAGATGATGGCGTTATATTATGTGATGGAAGTCTGGAATGGATCTTGGATGGTGGTGGCACATTCACTGAGGAAAGTGGCAAGTTCCTACATGATGGTGTTACACTATGTAGTGAAGGTCTGGAATGGATCTTAGATGGTGGTGTTGAACTGTGTGAGGATGGTACCACATTTATTGAGGGAGCTGACAAGCTCATGCATGATGGTGTTACATTATGTGATGCAGGTTTGGAGTGGATCTTGGATGGTGGTGTCAAAATGCGTGTGTGTGGTACTGGCACATTCACTGAGGAGGGTGACAAGTTCCTAGATAATGGTGTTACATTATGTGATGAAGGTCTGGAATGGATATTGTATGATGGTGTCGTACTGTGCGAGGATGGCACAACATTTACTGAGGAAGGTGGCAAGCTCATAGATGATGGTGTTACATTATGTGATGAAGGTCTGGAGTGGATCTTGGATGGTGGCGTCAAAATGCGTGTGTGTGGTGGCACATTCACTGAAGAGGGCGACAAGTTCCTAGATAATGGTGTTACATTATATGATGAAGGTCTGGAACGAATCTTGTATGATGGTGTTGTACTGTGCGAAAATGGCACAACATTTACTGAGGAAGGTGGCAAGCTCATAGATGATGGTGTTTCATGATGTGATGAAGGCCTGGAATGGATTTTTGATGGTGGCGCCAAACTGTGTGTGTGTGGTTGCACATTCACCAAGGAAGGTGACAAGTTCCAAGATGATGGTGTTATATTACGGGATGAAGGCTTGGAGTGAATCTTGGATGGTGTTGTCAAATTGTGTGAGGATCGTACCACATTTACTAAGGAAGGTGTCAAGCTCAGACATGATGGTGTTACATTATGTGATGAAAGCTTAGAGTGGATCTTGGATGGTGCTTTCAAACCGTGTGCACATGGTACCATATTCTTCGATGAAGTTGACATGCTTCTATGTGATGAAGATGTTGAGATCTTTGATGGTAGTATCATATTATTTGAGGATGAAGGCATTTCATTTCTAAAATCTTGGGTTTTAGATGGAGAAACAAAATGGGTTGACGATCTTGGATGTCTTGAAACAGTATCTTTAGAAGATGATACACCATCCTTGGTATAGGTGATCTGTCGCAAACGGAAATTTTTAGATGACTTATAAACTAACAATTCATTTGATTGTGTTTGGTTGTACTTTCCAGTAGGAGTGTTTGCTGCATTATGATTTCTATGTTTCTGGACTGGAATTCGTTTAGTTAGATTGATATTACCACCTTTCAACTCAGAATTCACACTCTTCCTTACCTTTGGGGATGACTTTGGAGCCCTATGTACACCATCATGTGTAGCTGTATACCCAACTGCTGCATGTTTCTCTTTAATTCCTGATCTTCTTTGTTTAACAGACATTTTTTCGTCTGATATGGTGTATCTCTCATCACCCTTGGATCTTCCCCATATTTTTGAAAGAAGTGACATTTATAGGTCTATGGTCTATCACAAATCCACCAATACTTTTTACGCTACACCGTTAAAACAGCCTTGCTGGTGCCCATCCCATAACAATAATCAGAATTGCAATGATTAGCATTCAGTCAACCATATTCAAACAGTAAAGTTAATACACAGTGCAGTAAATCTTCGATGTCTGCTCAAAATGACATTGCTTCAATTCAACTATAATAGGCCTACACTGTACTGACTGCTCCATGCTAATTTCAAATTTTTGATACAAGGCACTCATAGAAGTATAAAACAGAGATTTAATATGAATCAATAAAAACTTGCATTTTCTGCATCATAAATCCAACAGAATTAATTTTGACTCAATTTCGTTTGATACTTGTATCCCTTATGTTAAACAGCGCCAACAAAAATGATGTATTACTTCCCAAGCAAAAAGCTCTGAATGCAGTGTATTAAACAGAATAAATAATAAAACCACAGCGTCCATGTGTTGAATGAGATTTTCATATTAAAAGCTCAGGGATATTATGTTTACTTAATTGTATTTACTGGTACTGATCATTAAACTTCTCATAAAAAAGATGTAAATAGAACACCTTCATCCCAAGAGACAGTTTATCAGTTTGCTTGGAAATACTAAACCTGGTATTTTGTTGGTGCCCAATCGACCATGAGGTACTATTCTGTGAGAAACAACACAATGGATGTTGCTAACAGCACTGTTCCTGAATGGTAAAGAAAAATCAATCAAAGATAGTCAGAGATTTATGAACTTGTGTCAGTTTAATCTCAGATAAGAAAGTATAATACATACTCCAAGTATTGAAATACATGCCATCGTGTTGGGATTCAATATTTCGACATTAATTATGTCATCATTAATATTGAATTCCAACACGATGGCGTGTATTTCAATACTTGGAGTGTCAGTTTATTACTGCCTGATTACAAGGCTATTCATACCAATTAACAATGCTAACGAAGATAGATTCTAAGCAGATAACCCTCTATGCATCACAAATAGAGCGGTTACTGATCATTTACTCATAACTATGGCAACTACTAAACAACATGTAATTAACAACTTGGTATGAAATCGTAGTTACTCATTCTTCACGATTATATATTCTGTTATATAAGACACAATACAGACTGCAACTTGAGCATAGCCTTGCTCAGGATTATGATTTAAAATGCATTAAAGATCGCCTCTGTTTTCAGAATGATATTATGCCATATTTTACATCTTAATCCTTCTAACTGTAATGAATGAAACCAATAGTCATTTAATACAATAAATCATGTTGCACAGAAGGATTATGATGAATAAAAAGTGTAGGCATGTTAGTCTGCCATAGAACAATATAAAAGAAATGACAGCAGCACTTTTAAAACTAACTTATATAGAATTTATTACTGTATCTAGCTTTCGCCCACACAGTGGACTTGGTGTACGGTAAGAATGGCCCCGGGAAAAATGTGAAATAATTATCAACTTTCAGTTTGGACAAACCAAGTATAGTACAGTGTATACGGACAGATTGAATGTTCCATTTCACAATCATCTTCCAAAAGAAACTACAAAGAAAGGAATAGTCTTAACAACAGTTACTTTAAAGACTGAAATAGAAAGATAGAAGTATAATCCACATAGTGTACCCTGATTCAAGAATCAAATTACATTTGATCAAACACTATTGTAATAGCTCCCAGAATGATTTTGAGTGCATATTTTAATTTAAGTAAACCAACACAGAGTTAGATCTAACTACCTGTATATCAACACAGAAGATAATTCTTTCAAGTGAAAGAGTTGAGGTCAAATAATTATGAGGCGCAAAGTGTAAATTTATTATTTAACACAATTATTTATATATAATTCATTATTTAACATCTAATTGAATAGATTACCCATAACACATCACTATATATAAATAATGAAAAGTAACTTACAATTATTTATATATAATAAGTTCACTGATTCCATTATATATAATGAAAGGGTAAAAAATCATTATATATAAATAATGAAAAGTAACTTACAATTATTTATATATAATTCATTATTTAACATATAATTGAATAGATCACCCATTATTTATATATAATGCTTTTACGTCTAAAAGATTATATGTAAATAATTGCGTTAATGTTTTCATTATTTATATATAATTAGTTTACTGATTTCATTATATATAAATAATGAAAGGGTAACCAAACATTATTTATATATAATAAGATTACTGTTTCATTATATATAAATAAGGAAAAGGTAACACATCACTATATATAAATAATGAAAAGTAACTTACAATTATTTATATATAATAAGTTCACTGATTCCATTATATATAATGAAAAGGTAAAAAATCATTATATATAAATAATGAAAAGTAACTTACAATTATTTATATATAAATTCACTAATTTTATTATATATGAATAATGAATTGACTTCAAACTCATTATATATAAATAACTGCTTTTACATTTCATTATATATAAATAGCTGTCGCAAAATCATTATATGTTTATAATGCTTGGACTTCAAACTCATTATAAGAACATAATGCATACGTGTTATCGTGCCAAGGTCATTATATCTAAATAATGGTTTCTTACTGCCATTAATATATATAAATAACCCTTGAGGTTGAGTGACATTATATATAAATGACATCGTAGGAAGTCATGGTTTGATCATTTGTTATGCAAATTACGAACACGACAGACTCAAATCGAGATTCCTGATGGCCGCGGCGTTCACTTTGGGGTTCTCTTAATTGATTTGAGATTTGCAGTACAGCATATTCAATAATCTGCTTTATCCCTCGCTGTGCCATTTTCGATTGGTGATGGTCTGCGACCTTAGACCACACAAAATAGGCCCTAATTGTAACTTACAGAGCACTGGTGAATATTTATTAAGCCTACTTCGTAATTTGTTTAACAAATTATTTATAAACCATGGCTTCTACGATGTCATTATTTATATATAATGGCACTCGACCTCAACGGTTATTTATATATAATTGGCAGTAAGAAACTATAATTAGATATAATGACCTTGGCACGATAAGACGTGTGCATTATAATGAATTTGAAGTCCAAGCATTATATACATATATAATGGTTTTGCGACAGCTATTATTTATATATAATGAAATGTAAAAGCAGTTATTTATATATAATGAGTTTGAAGTCAATTCATTATTTATATATAATGAAATCAGTGAACTTATTATATATAAATAATTGTAAGTTACTTTTCATTATTTCTATATAATGTGTTACCCTTTCCTTATTTATATATAATGAAATCAGTACACTAATTATATATAAATAATGAAAACGTTCACGCAATTATTTACATATAATCTTTTAGACGTAAATGTATTATATATAAATAATGGGTGATCCATTCAATTATATGTTAAATAATGAATTATATATAAATAATTGTGTTAAATAATAAATTTACACTTGGCGCCTCATAAATAATAAGCATTGGTATTGCTTATTTTTGAAAGAATTGCTTAAAAAGGAGGTTTGACACGGGCCTGAAAAATACATTGTATTCCATTAAAAATTATAATGCAAGCCTGCAATTTTATTCCTGTTTTTCACTCCATCTCATGATTGTTTTCATCTTTTATAGGCATACGTCATGCTGGTGTTACTAACAGTGTAACCAGGACAACTATGTTATTACTTGGTATGTATTCAGAAACAATATCCTTCTTTCCATAGGAAACACAGTGTGGTAGCAGTGGGTATAGTATTATCAGGGGCGGATCCGGAGATGTCCTAAGTGAGGCCGATAGAGACAACACTACTGTATAGATGTCTGGGAGGGTTTTTCCTCCGTGAAATTTTTGTTTTCTAGATGCCCGAAAATTACATCTGAGGCATTCTGGGGGCGATCAATTATTTCTTTTTCCTTCCTTTTTTTTTTTTTTTGACTTTTCAAAAGGGGGCAGGGGGAGGCTAAACTGGACCTCCCCTCTAAATCAGCCCCTGATTATAAATGCTTGAAAATGCTGAATAACAAAATATATAAAGTCAAATACTGCTGAAATCACACAGTAATTGAATGACATTGAATGAGCAACATTAAATGTATAATTATACTGCATGTACTGATGTCAAAACAATATAGTGTCAAATAATTGAAGGTATTCCATTTCCCAGTGTTTTCTTAAATAATATTCTTAAAACTAGTGCAGTCACTCCATAAAATGCCTACCTCCACCCTGTGCCCGAATACCGAACAATAAGCTGTATGGGTGATTCTATTTTATTTTATTTTATTAGACTTATATTTATGATCGAGGGTAAGTTCCATTGGTGGATCTGATACCCCCCCCCCCAGCTATACAGTACTTCAGTATCAGTACTTGTAGCTGGATATCAGTTGATGAATATGTACCAATTTGTCACTGACAAACAACTGTCTAGCATACAATCCTTGAACAAGCTCAATCGTTTGAAGAGGGTGGTATTTTGTTTTCTTACAATCACAATAATCAAAATATATGCACCAATTTGTAATAAGGTTCCCATGATAAAGAAATTTTTAAAAACTAATGAACTAATTGAATGAAATCAACTAAATTTAAGTCTTAATTCTTAGATAAGCTCTCAAATTCAAAAAAGTGCAATAAACAAGGAGACCAACAGTCAGCTTAGAATACAAGTTTTTTTAATTCAACACTGATTCTAACAGACTTTTATATCTAATATTATTATAAAGTTACAGCAACATAACAAATCGTAACTAGGCCAACTCTATTGATCCATAAAAAAAAACAATGGTTATCATGTTTATTGCTTGTTTTTCAAAACCATATTTATTGAGTATGACCCTTCCAGTGTATCCCTGGAGGTCCAATGATATTCAGGGGCCTCTTAAATAAATGAAATAATGTGATGCTTTATCAGTGAAGTCTCATTAACCCTCTAGATACTGTCTTCGACTGTAGTCGAAATTGACCTCAAACCGAGAATTCCCATTTTCGACTGCAATCGAAATTTCGTGACTAAAAAATAGGTGGTTTTCAAATCACTCTTCTGTTTTTATTTTAGCTCCAATACGTCAGAAATTTTGAACACGCATGCGTGAAGCTTTTGTTTTTCGAAATCTGTGAAGAACTCACATGCGCTTATATAAAAATTTTTAGAAATATCAATTTGAAATCGTTATTAATTTCAAAAATTTTTCGAAATGGCCGCACAAGATG